AAGTCCCTGCCATGCAGTGACCACTTTCCCTGCCACCACCCGGCTTCATTTCCTTCAGCATCTCTCTCTGCGTAATGACTCCCGTGTGCGTATTTCCTCACTCTGGCCCATCTCTCTCCACCAGCATGTAACCACCCTCCATGAGTGTGAGCCCGTGTTTGTCTTTGTGACCCTGATATCCTGGTGCTTGGCACAGATCCCACCACGTTCGAGGGAGCAGACACATTTGTTGAATGAATGAATGAAACAACAGCTCTTTATTTACCATTAGCGCCACTACTGGTGAAATCCTGCATTCCCCTTCACTTTCGGATATTTTATATCCACACCGCCCTCATACTTGCCAAGCAGGATCTAGGTCATAAAGGTATATTAGCCTGATTTATCAATACTGGCAATGAGGGAAGATCCTGGCAGCTTCCCGCAAAAGTAGTGGGAGTGCCTTAATCTACAAAAGAGCTCTCAAGCGATTCTTGGCTGGGATTTCTTAGGACAGTCCCAGAAGAAGATAAAATGAGGCAGCTGGAAACAAAGATCTCTGAGCTTTTGAAAATCGATTTCTCTCCATTCCAATTCTTCTACTTATCCATCCACACGTCATCCAGGAAATAATTATCAAGTGTCTAGTATGTGCCAGGCTCTCTGTCAGACCCTGGGGATATAGTGATGAGCAAAACAGCCATTTCCCCTGCCTTTGTGGAGAGTCTCTAAGGGAGATGCACATTAAGCATTTATTGTGAGGACACAATAAATGGATTATAACACACTGAGATATGTGCTGTGAAGGAATTGTAAAAGATGCTATGATATAATAACTAGAAAACAAAGTTTTAAAAAAACCCAAAATCTGCAAGAGCACCAAAAATACTTAGGAAATCAATGAAAGAAAAGATGTGTAAAAGCTCTCTCCTGCTGAGAGAAATTAAACATCTAAATCATGGAGCTGTGTCATGTACCCAATGGGGAAGTCTCAATGTGATCCCAGTGTCAACAGTTCCAAATTGATCTATGGATTCAACACAATCCCAGTCAAAATTCCAGCAGGCTTCTCTGTAGAATGATTTCTATGGCAATGCAAATAACCTGGAAGAACCAAAGCGATCTTAGAAAAGAACAAAGTTGGAGAACTTACACTTCCTGATTTCGAGACTTATTATAAAACTACAGCCATCGAGACTGTGTGGAAATGGGGAAAGGAAAGACATAAGGATCATTATGTCTTATGTCTGTCAGAACAGAGACTCAAGAAACAGACCCACTCAGGTACAATCAATTCATTTGCAATAAAGATATCAAGGTAATTCAGAAAGGAAAAGAAAGTCTGGAACTGGATAGGTAGGTAAAGATTTCTTAGGACATAAAAGCACAAAACATAAAAGGAAAACTAAATGAGCTAGACTTTATCAAAGTTAGACTTTATCAAAATTCAAATTTTTTTATTCCTCAAGAGACAATTAAGAAAATGGAAACACAAGTCATATAGTGTGAGAAAATAGAATACATATATGTAACTGATGAGCAGTACCCAGAACATAATAACGAACTCTCTGAACTCAGTAATATGAAAATAATCTCATTTTTTAAAAATGGGCAAAAGACTTGGACACTTCACAAAGACACACAGATGGCCAATAAGTACTTAAAAATATGCTCAACATCAACAGTCATCAGGGAAATGCTAATTAAAACCACAATGAGATACCATGCCACATAATGAGAATGCCAAAAACTTAAGACTAACAAATACCAAGGGTTGGCAATGCTGTGGAGCAAGTGGAATACTCATACACTGCCGGTGAGAATAAAAATGGTACAGCCACCTTGGAAAACTGGCAGTTTCTCAACAAGTTAAACAAAAAGTTGACCATACAGCCCAGCTAATGTAGGTATTTTCCCAAGAGAATTGAAAACACATATCTTCACAAAGACCTAAACAACAATATACATAGCAGCTTTGTTCACACTAGCCAAAAACTGAAAAGCAAAAACAAAAACAAACCCCAAAAAACCAAATGTCTATTAACGGATGAATGGATAAATAAAATATAAAGTATCTATGAAACAGAATACTATTCAGCAACAGTGCCCTGAGAACATCCAATAAGAGAATCTAACTGAACCTAGGAGGTCAGGGAGGGCATTCTTAAGGAGGAAGTGGGTATCTGAAAGAAGGCTGGAGCCTGCCAGGGGAGGTAGAGTGGGTAATGAGAAATAAAGAGCACTACAGGCAGAGGCTTGGTCAAGAGCCCCTGGCAGAGGAAAGGTGGCACATTCACAGAAGCAAGAGATGGTCTTGCTTAGAGAGCAAGGAGAGAGAAGAGAGATATGAGTTGAGGTTGGAAGTTGGCAAGGCCATAGACCTTGTTAAGAGTTTTGATGTTTATCCTCAAGGCAATAAGAAATCTCAGAAATGGCTCTAAACAAGAGGGTGATATAACTGGCTTGACATTTTTAAGAGATCCCACTAACTACAGCATGGAGAATTGACTGTCAGGGTGTGAGTGGCTGGGAAGGAACCGGTCACGGCCCCTGCCAACCTCCTGTAACAGACTGTGGCTTACGATGGGATGGGATGACGAAGATGGGGAGAGATGGATGCCTTCAATGGGCTCTGTGAAGCATGTGGGACTGTACTGAGGGTATAGGGAAGAAGACAGTATTGGGACTGACTCCAAGATTATGGCTCAGGGGATGGAATGGGAAGAGATCCTATGCCCCAACATAGAGAATGCTGGAAGGAGGCCTCATGTGGTGGAGGTCTAAAGTCAGCTCTGGACACACTGAATTTGAGGTGCCTGGGAGACATCCGAATGACAATGTCTACCAGGCATTTGGACATGAGAATGTTAAAGCTCACAGGAGCCCAGAATAGATTCAGAACTGGGGTTTATGAAGATGATAGTTAGTACTGCAGGAATGCATACAATAGATTAGAGAGAGTATAGGACCAGTATAAGAGGGAACCTGGAACCAAGTCTTAAGGGACTTGACATTAGAGGATGACCAGGGAAAGGTGGGCTAGTGAAGGTCACTAAGAAGTGATTTGGGAAAAGGCCAGGAAACCAGAAGAGCATAATATAGGAGAATTCATGGAAAGAGAATGTTTCAAAAAGGCTATGGAAACTGTGTTGAAGGCTAGTAAAAGAGGAAGAAAATGTCCACAAAATTTAGTAGCAGAGAGGTCACTGTTAATCTTAGGACGAGCAGGTCCTATGGAAAAACAGGGATATAACCCAGATTAGAGTGGACAGGGGATGGGAGCAGTGACTGAGAACTAAGGAAGTTGAGAAAGTGATTATATATAATTTTAAATAATGGGCCCAACTTCCTTAAAGCTGGGTTGTAATGATGATGAAAGAAAACAACTTGGAAGAGATTGTGAAAGACATTGCCTTTGTGAAAGCTCAGCCCTTGAATTCAGCCGGAGAGGTTGCATTTCCTTTTCCTGTGACATAGGTGGGTGTTATGAGTCATGAGTTCAAAGTTTCCTTTATTATGTTACCTTCAAAATGTGGAGGAGGGGGTTCACTGGGGCCCCTTCAACATAGATGACACGCCTCAGTGGCAGGAGAAAGGTAGGGGCAGGGGCAGGACAGGCAGAGATAAAGCAGCGGTCCTACTCCTCAACATCTGTGTGTCAGAAGTTTCTGCTTGGCCATTAAATCCAGATCCTCACCAATAGTTATAGAAAATCATAAAAGCAAAATGACACCAATGTATTTGGTAGCAAGCAACAGAGACTGGTCTCTTCCTTAGTTCCCCTGTTTATCTGGGAAGTGCATGTGTGTGCCAGGAGAAGGAGATAAATGCACAGATCAAACTCCTTGGTTCTAGGGGAGGGTAGAGCTGAAGAGAAAGACAGGCTAAATATTAAGATCTCTGGACCCCAGGGTTCTAGGCTAAAAAACTAACGACTGAGGAAATGACTGACTGAGCAAACAACAGGGGGTGAGTATACATCCGGGGGAAAGAATTCTGAGAGCAGGGATCAGGCCACAGACGGCAAAACAGAGACCCATTCCCTAGGTCAAGAGGCAAATGTGTTCTTTGTTTCCTCAGATGTGTGTACCTGGAGAGGAATCCAGGAGCTTCTAACCTGGAGCTCCACAGAGGGGGAAAGGGGAGGATGGAACAAGGATGGCTCAGAGGTTGGACCCAGCCCACAGGGAGAGGGAACACATGGGGGAAAGACACGGGAGCCTGAGCACAACTCCCCTGTAAAGAGACACACAGGCACACCTGGCCTCCTGAATCCCTGACACTCTCCCGAGTCGGACGGCCTCTGGAGATTTTACCAAGTGACTCACTCTCTCCAAAGCTGCCAGCACACTTCCACTTACGGGCACCCACTCAGTGCTCAGCACTGGCCCGTATGCTTTATACATGCCATCTCATCCACACCTCACCGAAAACCCTGGGAAGTAAATATTCCCATCTTCACTTGACCGAAAAGGAAGCTAAAATTCAGAAAATTCATCTGCTCCAAGGTCCCAGTGAAGGGACATGGGTTTGAGGCCACATCTGCATGACTCTAAATGCCATGCTATTTCCACCAGAACAAGACTCAGGCTAGGCGAAACCAATCTGTCTCAACCAAGAGGGCAAAAGAAACTTGTTGAGGGCCGAGGACAAGAGACCACATAGGAAAGAAAAAATTGAAGACTAAAAGGAAAGGGGAAACTTCTTTTCTGAATATGAGAAGAATTACAAAAGAAATTGCCTAGAAAAGAGAAGAAAAGATCATCTGACCTGAGAAATGGGAAAAATGCCTGGGAATGAAAAAATAATTCAGGACCTAGAGACAGAGAAGCTGGGTTTGGAAGTCAGAGTGAGGATCTCTAGGGGGAGAATGAAGATGCTGGCGGGTGCCCCATCCTTCAGGTTTGAGAGGAGACAGTGTTCAATTACTGACCTTCCTCTCTCTGGTCACATGACTTGTGCTATTATAAAAGCTTTCTACCAGCAGGTTCCTTACAATTTTTTCCTGTGTGAAATGGGCAGTAGCAGTGGCTAAAGCCCTGTTCCTCTTTCCCAGAAGCTTTCAGACTTCCCTTCGGGACTAATCCCAAGAAGCCATCTCTCTGGACTGAAGACAAGGCAAGACAGCTGGCTCAGTGCTTGTGCTCTGGGAAGAGATGCTGGAATCTGGGGTGGAGGGGGAGGGGTTGGGGGGCTGCTGGGAGTCTGTGAGAAACTGGATCTGAGGCTCATACCTGGAGACAGGAGCCAGTGGAGATGGGATTGAGGAAACAGACCGGGACCTCAAGCCGAGAGAGAGGATGGAGGGGCTGGGCTGTGTTTGGGCAGCACGGGTTATAAGCCAAGTAGAAACTGAGTGACCCCATTGAGAGTTCTTCTGTTGATAGTCAAAACTGGGCTTTCTTGAATATGCTCTAAAGTCTTTTAGGGGACAAGCCCCAAAAGATAATACAGGCTCACCCTTCCTCCCCGCTGCCCCTCCCCTACACCTCATTAGCTTCCTCTTTTCAGTAACAGTCCCAGAGTCTGGCATTGGTCAGGGGAGAAAAAGGCGGAGGAGAATCTGTGTTCTGCAAAAAGAGAGAAAGACAAGGTAGGGGGATGGGTTGGGGGGCTAGGCACCTGCTTCCTGGGCGTGTGGCGGGGTCCTGTGGAGAGCCGGCACTGGGTCTCACAGCAGAGAGACAGCTCACAGCCCTCCGCTCGTGAGATGAGGCTTGGCTTTTCTCTCCGTGGATCTCCGACTGAGTAAAGAACTTAAGGAAAGGTGGAAGCTGGTAACAGTAACTTCCTGTATCTGTGAGAAGGAGAAAGCCAAGGGTTGGTCCCCCCCCAGGGACACATGATGGCCAACGTAATAGCTACTGCTTAATATCCCGCCCCAGGCAAAGTCAATAATTGCTCTGGGCAGTTCTGGCAGGTGGTGTGAGCAAGCAGCGGCAGCAGCAGAAAGCTTTGGCCTGGGAAGGGGAGAGCACCAGGGAGGATGTCCCCATCCTGAACTGGGCGGGGGTGGGGCTCAGGCTGGGAGTGGGACCTCCTGACCCTGCCCTTTTCCAACCTCTTCCAGAGCCAACATGACCAACTGGCGCAACTCCCTCATCCTCACGGCCTACATCGTCATCTTCCTCACTGGTCTCCCTGCCAACCTCCTGGCGCTACGGGCCTTTGTGGGACGGGTCCGCCAGCCCCACCCTGCCCCCATCCACATCCTCCTGCTCAGCCTGACGCTGGCGGACCTCCTGCTGCTGCTGCTGCTGCCCTTCAAGATTACTGAGGCTGCGTATAACTTCCGCTGGTATCTGTCCGAGTTGCTCTGTGCCCTCACGGGTTTCGGCTTCTACAGCAGCATCTACTGCAGCACGTGGCTCCTGGCGGGCATCAGCATCGAGCGCTACCTGGGAGTGGCTTTCCCCGTGCAGTACAAGCTGTCCCGCAAGCCCGTGTATGGAGTGATCGCTGCCCTGGTGGCCTGGATCATGTCCTTTGGTCACTGCACCATCGTGATCATCGGTCAGTATTGGAACTCAACCCGGAATGCCACGAGTGGGGACGGCATCACCTGCTACGAGAACTTCACCGATTCTCAGCTGCATGTGGTGCTTTCTGTGAGGCTGGAGCTGTGCCTCTTCCTGTTCTTTGTCCCCATGGTGATCACCATCTTCTGCTACTGGCGCTTTGTGTGGATCATGCTCACCCAGCCCCACGTGGGGGCCCAGAGGCGGCGCAGAGCTGTAGGGCTGGCTGTCGTGACGCTCCTTAATTTCCTGGTGTGCTTCGGGCCTTACAACATATCCCACCTGGTGGGGTTTTACACGAAGAAGAGCCCCCAGTGGAGGGCAGAAGCCGTGGTGTTCAGTTCCCTCAATGCCAGTCTGGACCCCCTGCTTTTCTATTTCTCTTCGTCAGCTATGCGCAGAGCCTTTGGGAAGTGGCTGCAGATCCTGCGGCATCGGAGCTCCTCCCTGTTGGGACGCAAAGGCCGAGAGACAGCAGAGGGGACAAATGCGGACAGGGGTGTGAGTCAAACAGAGGGAGCTCCGAGTTCTGACTTCACCACAGACTAGGGGTGTCCTGGACCTTTGGAGGCTCTCTGGGTGACACAGGCATTGAGCAGCCTGGGAGAGGGGGAACATCAGGGTTCCTGTGCCAGGGTCAGAAATCCTCAGATCGATCCACTACTGGGGCTGTAAAATCCTTTCTCAGCAGCTTGGTATCCCTTCCTGACTGAAGTTTTCTTCCCAAAGGAGCACAGCTCCAGGACCAAAGGAGAAATGGTTAGGCACAGAAGCACTCTCAAACTGGAGTTTCAGAAGCAATGTAGCTAATATGAATTCAGTCCTTGGGAGATGGTTGGTAGCTGGGGATGATCGGGCTGAAGCAGTGTTCTAAAGCAATTTTGCTACACGCTTTGAAACAACACCTAGACACTGGTCTAGCTGTAGATGCTAGAAAGGAGACAATGGGAGAAAGATGGAAGAGAATACCAAATGAGGTCAAAGAAGAATCAGGAAGATTATGAGTCAAGAGGACTAAGAGGGAGGACCGGGAACTGTGACTTCTAACGATCTGGGTTTGTACTGTATCGCTTTCACCTGCTGCTTTGTAAGTATGCTCCAGTCATCTCCACGTGTGTATCTTGCCTCCCCGTATTAAACCTGCCTGAAGTCTGGGTCTTGTCTTCTCCCTCCGTGGCACCTCCACACGGGTCAGGACACAGCCTGGCACCCATCAGTCAGAGGTTAACACTGACTAGCACAGGAGTAGACAACCTGGTCTGGCAGATTGAAAATAAAGATGGTAAAACTCTGAAGCATGTGTCCACAATGTTTGTGCTTTTCTGCAAGCTCAGGGAGGGCGAACATGCAATGAAGAAGCTGACTCAGCAGCACAGGGGGAGGGTGATGCATGTGAAACCACAGAAGTTTTTTAAGGTCAGGATGTAATGAGTGGAGTTAGGGAGGGGGCCGGTGGAATCCTGTTTCCACTGATGAACAGAGACGGGACATAGAAAGAGAATGTGGGGTGAATCCTGACTTAACATTACCAGGTGTATCTCAGGGGTCTAAAACACGTGACCCTCCCGCTTAGAAACCTGCAGAGTTTTCCTATTGTCAAAAGTTTTCGTCCCAGGAACTCCTATCCTATCATTCCATTGCCTACTTCATATCCTGTCTCCCTGCCCAGTCCCACCTTCCTAAACTCACTTCTCCACAATAAGGACCCCTAGCCTGCTCTGTCTCGTTAACTGCCCCTTGCCCCAGCCTAGTGGTCTGCAAGAGAGGTTATACAGCAGAATTGCATGCAGAGGTACAAAAATAGTACACATGGCCCCCTCCAATCTACTGACTCTTTGTGGTGGGAGAGCAGATGAGCTTTTAAAAGCTCCCCAGTGATTATGCTAGGCAGCTCAGGGAAATGAATTGCTGGCCCACCTTGGAGGCCCGATCTGTCCAAGAAAGTGTTCTTCAGAGAGACCCTCCCTGCTTCTAAGTCCCTCCCACCGCAACCCCACATTCCCTCATCTTCTGCTTACTTTTTCCACTTTCATAAAACCCCACTCAATATTCACTTTCTCCCGAAGGACTTTCCTTATTATTCCCACCCAAAGAAGAGCTCACTTTGTTTTCCTTCCTCAAACACCACTGGACTGGTGTAAGAGCCCTGACTTCACTGTCAGTTCTGCTTCCTAGCTGGATGGCCTTGAGCAAGTCCCAACCTCCAGCCTCTATTCCCAAACCATAATCATGAGGATGATGTATGCCTCCCAGGGTTATTCTGAAGTTCCAGTCAGATTGTATAAACAAAATTGCTGAAAAAATTTACAGTAACACTTAGCTCTAAAATAGCGACCCAAGTGAAACACAGATATACCCCCGCTTAAAGGAAATATAGTAAATAGAAATTTAAAATGATGGAAATCACATATGAGAGAGACAACTATATAGGACGGTTTAACAGTAATGTGTGAGAAAGAAATCTGGGATTTTCTGCTGACTGTACATCTGGGATGTATTACACGTTCCAAAAAAAAGCTAATTTGATTTTGGGTGCCATTAAAAGAAATAGAGTCTAAACAAGTTGAGGATAATCCCACTTCACTGAGGTCTTAATCAGTAGCATGTTCAGCATTTGAGCAGCACATTTTTTTTAAAGATTTATTTGTTTACTTTGGGGGGTGGGGGAGGGGCAAAAGGAGAGAATCTTTCAAGCAGATTCCCCACTGAGCAAGAAGCCCGAGGATCCCACAATCCATGAAATCACAACCTGGGCTAAAATCAAGAGTCAGACACTCAACCAACTGAGCCACTCAGGTGCCCCATGAGCTGCACATTTTTTTTTTTTTGAGCAGCACATTTTTAAAAAGACATTAACTCGGGGGTGCCTGGCCAGCTCAGTCAGTAGAACATGTGACCCTTGATCCCAGAGTTTTGAGTTTGAGCCCCATGTTGGGTATAGACATAACTTAAAAATAAAATCTTTAAAAAATAGAAAAAAGAAAAAAAGACATTAAATCAAGGAATCAAGCCCAGAAGAATTAACCAAAATGTTTTGGAGATTTAAAACCATATAATGACGATGATGATTGATGACAGTGATATGTAATAAAAGCCAGACACCGTTCCAGAGAAGTAGCCTGAGATGATTAAGGGAGCTTTCCAAGGTCAGCAAGTGAAAGGAAGTATGAATCCAGGTCTGCCTTTCTCCAAAGTCCCTGCTTTTTTCATTGACTCATGAGAAGCAAGTAAGAGAATGCTGGACACGTGGCTGAACCAAGATGAGGTCCATCTCATGGAAGATGCATTCTATGTAGCTCCACAGGGAAGAATGATGACCATGAGCAGAAGAGGAGGGAGCTACCTTTCAAACAGTCAGGGCTGTTTAAATGGAACTGAGTTAACTCAATAAGGTAGTCACTCCCCAGTTCCAGGAATATTGAAGTGGAAGATAGAAAACACCCATCCTGGGACATTGAGGAAACTACACATCTTATAAAAGCCAAACCAGTTAATTGCTAAACCCCTTCCAGCTCAGAGATTCCCAGGGTTTCAGGGACACAGCTGCTCTTGCCAATCAAAAAAGCGAAAGAAAATCTCCCGACACTGGTCTGAGATTTTCAGGGTGAACACTAACAAGTAGTTGGTCTGTATAAAAGTCACTTGATATACAGCCCATTTCTTCACTGGGAAATTAATAATTCATTTGTTCAACAAATATGTATTGGTTACCTACTATGAGCCAGGTACTTTTCCAAGGGCTAGGGATACAGAGTACATAACAGACAAGGTACCTGCCCTCTTGGGGCTTCCATTCCAGTGGGAAAAAATTGTTAATAAACAAGTAAACAAGGTAATTTCAGAATGTGGCAAATGGTTTTTACAACTGGACTAAAACAGGGACATGGGAGAAAGTCTAACAAGAGGTTAAGGGAGTTTAGAAGATTCTCCTGAGTCAGTGATGTTCAGCGGAGACCTGAATGATGAGAAGGAGTTGCCATACAAAGGCCATGGGAAGAGCATTCCAGAAACAGGTACTGCAGATGCAAAGGGAGGGAGAAAACCTTAGCTTCCCAAAGGCTGAGAGAAGGCCAGTGTGGGGCTAGAGCAGTAGTCTACAAACTTGGATATATATGAGAATCACATGGAGAGTTTGCTGAAGCAGATTACTGTCTTCCCTCCCCACAGTTTCAGAATGAGTAGGTCTGGGATGGGACCCAAGGGTTCGTAGTTCCAACAATCCTAGGTGATACTGATACTGGTGACCCAGCATCATGACCACACTTTGAGAACCACTGGGCTGGAATGCAGTGACTTATGGAGAGACTCACAAAGATGAGGTCAAGGAGGTCAGCAGGGACCAGACCATGCAAACCTTTAGGCCATAAATAGAAGTCTGAATTTATTCTAAGAGTTTTGGAAGCTATTCAAAGGTTTTTAAGCAAGAAAGCGGAATGGTCTGATTTCCATCTTAAGTCAATCACTCCAGTACCTGTGCCCACCACTGAAGGGAGATGTTTGTTAGGATCAAAGAGATAATGCGCATGACAGAGCTAAGAACCATAACACACCACAGCAAGCATGCAGGGTTTGCATCGGACTGGTAGCTCCCTGAAAGTGGGGGCTGTTTCTTCTTTCACTAGAATTGGCTGTCCAAGGACCAAATAGTCAAGAGGAGGCCCTTCTAAGTTATCATGCATCTATTTGATAAACAGATGTTCACAGTGTGTGCTAGAAAATGTTTAACAACTAGGTTTTGGGATTGGTTGGGAGGGGTGGAGTGGGTAACAGCAGGGTGGTGGGTAGTGAAGCCCTGATTTGTAGCACTTGCCAATTTCTATGGTATATACACTCCCCCACTCCCCCCAGGGCCAATTTCTACCAACATCAAGACGCTGAGGTTAATAATCAGTTCTTGCAAGCCAGCTCAAGCACATCACTGGACGTACCTCCCGACACATATGATCAAGTGGCAGACAGAACCACATCCTATTTGAGAAAATTCTCTCTCTCCCTGGCTACATATAGTACAAGGCTCTGGCACAAGACTTTTGACATAATAAACACTGGCTAAATGTGGCTCGCTGGGCCTGATCCAAGAGGATCCGGTTGGCTGGTTAGATTGTGAGACTTCCCTGAATCCCCTGTGGGATAACAGATGGGTAAACAGAAATATTAGTGCCTGGTTAATGAATAACACAGACAGCAGCCTAGAGCGCTACCAGGAAACAGGGGTGGAGGAAGCTGGCTCAGCCTGACTTGGGGGCCTGACCAGCAGGAAAGGGGAACCCGGCATTGACTATTTCACTTCCTCTTTCTGGAAAAGATGGTGTTGTGCCCCTTCCTCAGCAATTCTCATCTGACCACACAGCCAGAGCTCTCCTGTAGTACGGCTGTGTGCGGCAATCGCTGTGGTCCAACAAGGCAGGGGTGGGCAGCCTGGAGAGAGTCTGAAGGAAAACATACAGCCAAGATTCCAACCACTCCCTTAGACTTCCCTGCCCCTTACCTCCAGGTTTTTGTCAGTTCTTTTTTTCAGTTTTCTCTCCCTTATGCGGTTAAAGACTTTGGCCCCATTTTTTTCTTTTTTTTTTTCTCTAGTCATAGGAAATGAGGACATTTCTCTTTGACAAATTGCACATTCGACCAGGAAATTGGGCCAAAGATCTCTAAGTCCTCAGTACAGGCAGTCCAGTAACCCACTTGG